TGGTCAATCCCACTATTCGTTAGTAAAAGAATAGCCCAAGAGTTGGCGGTGGATGGTGATGACTAGATGCCTTCCCTCTAGTCTTACACTGCTAAATTAAGGACGGCTAGCGCAGATAGCCCTCGTGTAGCTTTGCGTGAAATTCAAAACAAACAAACAATGTTTCAAATAACTCTGCATCATAAGAGGGGGTGAATGTTGTACACGCAAAAACTATAAAACGAATATTGTCCCCCAGTGGCTATCAACTTACAATGCTAGAATCCGGGTTTCGATACCCGTGGTGGGCAGAGCACAGATAGTCCATTGTGTAGCTTTGTGCTTAATTACAAACAAACAATAAAACGAATAACATTCATAAGTATATTATAGATTATAACCTGCTTTAGTAGGTTTAAAACAAAAACAAGGAATGATTTTTCCATGAGGTAGTGTTGTGACAATTAGTAATGAATTAATAAAAATGACTTATTAGAGCTAACTACTGTTTTTAGTCCTTCGGTTTGGCTTAACGGCTGTTAGATTCTGTTTTCGGTCTATAAGTTTTAACCATTAAATTTCGTGTACTAACAGCTTTTAGTTACTGGTTTCATTCTTTTTTTAATTTAGTAAATTTTAAATGGTGTGATATTAGATTATTTTAGATTGTTGTGATGATGTTACTATATCACACATTGTAGTGTTGTTGGTATATTTTAGGTTGATGCGTTGTCTGTATATTTTAGTGTCGTTAGTACATTTTTGATGGTAATAGTTGTGATAGGAAATTCAGATAGTCGTAGTAATGTTGGTGAATTTTAGGTAGTATTAGTGATGCCCCCTTAAGGTCACCCAAAGATGATGGGGGAGGGTCTAGGAGTAGGTTTGCAAAATTGCTGAACTAGAGTGCATTGAATTTTGTATTCCTGGCCCTCCTCAAGATCCTGGGAACGCCATTTTAGAAACCATGTTTGTTTTGTTTAAAATGATTGGATATTTTATTAAATATAGCATGGATATGTGGTCACATGACAGTGCAATACCAATAGGAAATCGACAAAAAGAAGAAGGAAAAAGAGAACACAGTAAATCGTAGGACAAACTTGGCATGGGCAGCTGGTTAGGGGCTCTCGACTCGCAATCTCTGATCACGGGTTCGAATCTCCATTCCACTAAACATACTCGCCTTTTCAGCCGTGGGAGCGTTTATAATTTGACGGTCACTATTTTGGATCACTCTTCGTTGGTAAAAGAGTAGCCCAAAAGTTGGCGGTGTTGACTAGCAGACTTCCCTCTTGTCTTTTACTGTTAAATTAGGGACGGCTGGTGCAGATAGCCCTCGAGTAGCTTTGCGCGAAATTAAGAACAAAACTAAAACAAATGACAGGATTACGGCAGAGGTATTGGCTTCACGTTACTTGTGTGTGTTTGAATTTAATAGCAAAGCTACATCAGGGAATACGCTGTGTCCACCGAGGGGAATCGAACCCCTGATTTTAGCGTTGTAAATATTACTTGTAGATTTAGGCCTGAACTAACCCAAACAAGGGTTTAAGGAATCTATAGTATTACATAAATTTAACTTTCTAGAGCCTTTCTTTTTATATTAAGTTTTATTAATCTCAATTATTCAATATAACATTTGTATTTTCAAATTTTGTAATTTTTACTAACAGGAAAACGGTGATAGAACTAAATGGAAAGCTTAATTTTGTTTAGGTACTGGATTAGGTTATGAAGTTGAAGAATCAGGCCAACTGGGTCAAGCCATTATACCTGACCCAATTTACGTGTACCGAAATTACCCCTATATAGGTAAGTACCTGATCAAGTTCGTTTTGAAGTCAAATTTAATTAATGACAAACAACATCTGTTGCATAGTGATATTTATTGATTTTTTTTCAACGTAATTTTAATTTATTACTTAAATAATAGTGAAAAAATGTTGATTAAATTTATTATGACATTTTACTTTCAATGTGTTAGCTAAATGGGGCATGATGTTTAAATAGGCCTAAGACGCCTGGAAAGTTATAAGTTCACGTCATGTTTTCCTCGTATGTTCGAAGCTAGATCTTAGTATTGTTAGAAATGTTTGAACGTTATTTGTAACGTAGGCCTACAAGAATTTACAGCAATGTACAAGTGTTTAATCACGTAGAAAGTTAATGGAGGAAATAAACCAATTTGTGAGTGAACACGTTAAATTATTTTCCAGATGATTTAAAAGAACACGTCAACGAGAAAACAACTTACAACAGTATAATAAATTAAACTATAACCCAAAATTATGAGAAATTTATTATAAAATATTAATTAAAAGTTCCTGTGTTTGTGTTTCCCTTAAATTAAAACAAGGAAATATTTTTAACAATTTAAACTTAAAAATTATTATATTTTTAGGGTACTCTGTAACGACGGGAAAATTCTTTAAACTTAGTGAAACAGAATCATTGGTCCTGGGTGCTCCAAGAGATTCAGATACACGAGGAAAGGTAAAGATTATGAGATTGTTACTCCTAACCTTTATAGATTATAACCTGCTTTCACCAATTCACTGGTATCATACTATTTACATTCCTGAATCTTCCATTTATCTCAATTTCTACGTATATTTTGACAAACAGACATGCACTCTTTAACCATAGCATTATCGCATCACTAAGCTATGCGTTTTTTGTTTTGTTTTTCTCATTTTCATGACGAATTTCCGGGTATTGCACGTCCAAATCCCTCTAACAGACTTTTAGGTTCTGCTCCACCAGTAGTAGGCCGGCAGTGCAAAAATAAATAAATGAAATAATACTTCTTTAGATACTGTAGAAAAATATACTTACCTGTCCATTCAAAGAATCCAGGAGCGCCAAACACTAAACGTTTCTCGTCCTTAAAAAGAATTAAATAAAAAAAGTGTTTCAGTCTGTCCAAAACTAACACGGTGAGCTATGTACATTTAAGTGAATAATGTCGTTTAGACTATACGTAGACACACTTTCTGAAGGTAGTTCGTAAAAATAAATAAATAAATAAATATTTGGGTGTCTGATGTATCAATATGTCGCTAACATTATACGATATTTTTGTTTTAATACTATGGTGTAAGCTTACCAAAATAAGCTCGTATTATATAAAATATGGGGAATTCTGATCACTATACATCAAAGGCGTTGCAACCGGGAGTGTTGGGTGTGCTTGAGCACCCCCATTTTTACATATTTCACTTATATAGCTACTGAAAATTATATCAATTTTCTGGCATGCCCCTAACCCCTCCCCCCCACCATAGCAGCTCCTTATACATTCAATCTCTAATTGTAAAATCTGCGTGTGTCTAGCCAATCACCCCCATACTATACCACTGTAGATGATAGAGGCTTTTAGCCCCGCCTAGGTTTATGTATACATAATAAGTGATTTTAGCCCCGCCTAGGTTTATGTATACATGATAAGTGATTTTAGCCCCGCCTAGGTTTATGTATACATAATAAATGATTTTAGCCCCGCCTAGGTTTATGTATACATGATAAGGGGCTATGTATACAATATCTTTAGTTTCCTTCAACTGGGTACTATATGTATACAATACTTTAGTTTCCTTCAATTGGG